CCGTCAGATCTGTCGGGAGAATCTGTTGATAGAAGGACCGATTGATCCTCATCTTCTATATATATATATATATATATAATAATATAAAATAATATATATATATATATATTAAAGATAAAAAGAAAAAAAAAATTAAAGAATCCTGTGTTGATCCTCCGGTATTTAAGACAAACTATGAGGTTTTTGTAGCGAGATAATTATTGTGCGGAGCGCGAATGGGAGAAAGAGAGAAAAGAAATGAATTATGATAAAACTGTACACACGAGTCAATTCCAACGAGCATTTTCATGCCATTAAGCTTAAAGAATTATTAGTTGATAATGAAAAACAAAACAAAAAAAAGAAAAAAAAAAAAGAGACGATAAGAGGGAAGGGTGCGAATGGAAGAAGAGGAAGAAAGAGAGAATAACAAATTCTTACACTCTTTTAATCATTGTTAATTAATTAATTAATTAATTAATCACGATCCTATCGATACTTAAAATGAGACGAGTAAAATAATAATTATTATTATATACACAAAACTATTATTATATTCATATTTTTGCTTATTACATATTTAAGAAAATATTAAACGAGGGCTAGCGAGTATAGTATACATTACTAAAAGAGAAAACGAAAAAAAAAAAAAAATGATTAAAAAGAAAAAAAAAAGGGGGAGCGAGGCCGATGGCGAAAAGGAAATCTCACTTTAGGAAATATTTTTAGTCTGTCGGGCTTGTACAACTTCGTGCGTGGCAATCAATCTTCGAATTTTACCATTAATGTTAATATATCTTTTTTCGAGAAGCGAGAATAAAAGAGGAGAGAAAAATTAGAACTTTGTACACACGCCGAGAATAAATGGGTTTTCTTCTTTTTTTTTTCTTCCGAGTTTCCGAGACAGTGGCCCGATCTTCGAATGCAGCGGTTACGTCGCTTTTCCGATATTCGAGAACAAAAAAGAAAAAAAAAAAAAAAAAAAAAAGAAATATTAAAACGTAATAATCAAAGGAAAAAAGTTTGATAAAATATTTGCACACAGTATTTTTCGGTCGTGATTAAGGAAAGTTCCCATGATGATGGAAAAGGCGACGCCGCGGACAAAATATTTCAGAAGTTCCCCGTTTATTATTCTTAGAATCGCATTAAATTACCACGTACATCAAGATTATCGAGGTATGGAGAACATGGCGGGATTAAAAATAAAAAAATGAGAAAATGCTAAAAAATAATATTAATTAAAAGACATCGCTAGGGTAGGCGCTTCGAGGATACATAAACTTTAAAAGTCACTTAATAAAAATTATTCTCAAAATATAAAAGTTTAATAAGTAAAGAAATTTTTAAATCTACGTAAGAAAGCCAAGAGTCAAAGACGACTAGATGATAGGAGCCGCATGGCCTAACTGCTGCCACTTTAATTAATTATAAATAATTAATTATAACTTTATTACTACTTAATTAAACTCGATACAAATGAGAAAATATGTCATGCCACTTTTCAAACTAAACTTTCTAGATGCAGAGACGAATCAGTAGGTATAGAAGACTATTAAAAGAAAACTTCTCTTCTAATTGGGAATGATTGATTCGCGCTATAGATTCGAATATTTCCAATTGTCCAGTCTCCAGAAAATCGCACGAGATATATATACGCGTGTAAGATGCCTCGTTATAAACCAGCACGACTTTTCACACGAAAATTGGCATTTCAAATTGCATAGGAATTCGTTGTCTGTCCTCGAAGAAATACATACAGAAATACATTTTTTTTTTTTTTCAAACGAGCTGAAAATACTATCATATACGTGTTTCTTCATCTATCGGTCGAAAAAAAGAAAAAAAAGAAAAAAAAAAAAAAAAAAAAA